AAATTTAAAATATACTAATAATATTTAACTAATAAAATATAAAATATACTAATAAAATTTCACTATATTACAATATATATAAAATATAAAAATCATTATAACTCATATCAAATAATTTTAAAAAACCTGTCTTACAAATTTGTTGTTTTTAGCTTAAGCTACAATTTTGTAAGAATAAATTTTTATTTATTTTATAAAATTAAAAGATTACTGTATATTCCTGAAAATAAGCTACTCCGAAAATAAGCTACTCCCTTGGTTTTGAGCAAAAAATCTAAAAACCTCTAATACTCGAAAATAAGCTACCTCATATTTTCAAGCTGAAAACAATAGTAATTTTTTTATTCCAAAAATAAGCTACCTCTTAAATCTATACAATATATTAGTAAATAACCAAGTTTTCAGTAATGCTTATTATTTTTCCAGTAGGAAAATAACAAGCATTACTTGGAAACTTGTTTTTTTACTATCACACTATTTTCTAACTGAAGATTTACATACATACATATATACATATTTACTATTGTATACCGGTATCTTCTTCTCACGTTAACTTAATTCTCTTAGTGAATATATGTACTAAAATTTAAAAATCAAATAAATAAATTAATAAGGTAAAATAAAAACGAATAAAAAATTAAAAAAATAAATTATATACCAATTTAAATTATAATAAATTAAAAAATAAAAAAGAAAAATGCTAAAAAAGAAATCTGAAAAAAAAAGTGTTAAAAAAAAATCGAAAAAAATAAAAATTATAAAATTAACGATGTTTTGCTCAACTTCAGAATTAGATATGTATTTGATTTTTTTTCATTACTTTTTTTCCTTCACTTTTTTTATTTTTTCACTTTTTTTTATTTTCTTTGCTTTTTTCCATTTTCTTTTATTTTTATCTTTATTTTTTTCTTCTTTTCTTTTTCTTTGCACTTTTCTTTTTAATTTCTTTACCTTTTATCATTTTCTTTCATTCTTATTCTGTTTTTTTATTCAACTTTTTCTTCTTTTTATTTTTTTTCTTCTATTCTTCAATCATTTCTTTTTCTATCCCTTTCTTTTTTGATTTCTTATTTTTTTTTCTTTAGCATTTTTTGGTTTATTTCTTGTTCTTTTATTCGTTCCTCAATTTTTTTCTTTTATCTCTTTTTTCATTTGTTCTTTTTCTTTCATCTTCTTTTTTCGTTTTTCTTTTGTCTTTCTCTTTTTGTATTTTTTTCTTTTTTTTGTTTTCCTCTTGTATCACTTTCATAGTACCTTTTTTTGGTATTCTTTCATTTTTTCTTTTTTCTTTTGTTATCTTTTTTCTTGTTCTTTTTTTATCTTATTTCTTTCCTATTTTTTTTATTCTTTTTTTTTTTGTTTTCACTTTTTTCCAGATTTCTCTTTTTTTTCGTTCTTACCTTTTTTTTCAATTTTCCCTTTATCTTTGTTATTCCCATTTTCTTTCTTTTCATTTTCTTTCATATTTTATTTTTTATTTTTTTTAGTTTCTCTTTCTTCTTTTTTTTCATTCTTACCTTTTTTTCATTTTTCTCTTTGCCTTTCATTACTTTCATTTTCCTTTTTTTTTTTAGTTTTTATTTTTCTTCTGGTTTTCCCTTTTTTTAGTTCTTACATTTTTTTTTGTTCTTCCCTTTGTCTTTTATTCTTTTTTTTGTTTTTCTTTTTTCTTTCGAGTTCTCTTTTTTTCTATTTTTCATTCATTCTTCTCTTTTTATTTGTTCTTCCCTTTTTATTTATTTTTTCCTTTTATTCTTCTTTTTTTCTTATCTTTTTCTTTTCATTTTTTTGTTTTCACTTTTCTTTTTTATTTTAGTTTCTTTTGTTTTTTCTTTTTTTCGTTTGTATTAATACACTATTTTTTTTTTCTAAATTTAATTTAGTTGGTCTTGGTGTCTTTAATTTAAATAGCAGGTAGGTTTGTGATTTAACAGCAGGTATGTTGGTAATGTAACAGCAGATAGTTTATAGTTTCAAAGACAGGTGGGTAGTGATATTTTTTTCTTTCATTGTCTTGGTTTTTTTTGTTTTTTATTTTTTTCGCTTATTCTTTTCTTGTTTTTTTAATATCTTTTAGAGCCGATATTTTTGGGTCTTCTATTTCAGATAAGTATTTTTTTTTTTTTTTAACTTCATTCTTGCAGTTGCTAAATATTCTCTTTCTTCTTTAGTTTGTTTAGGATTCGATTAAATGTGGAATTAATTCTAGAAGATCAGTGAAGTTGTCTCTTTGGTGCTTTGTCGTTAGAGTCATCATCTGTGGTATCAGAATCTTTATTATTGGAGTTGTCATCTTTGGTATTGGGGTCTTCATTGTTGGAGTCGTCAATTTGATGTTGAAGTCTTCATTATGGTATAATGGGTTTGACTTATTTGTTACGCAATTCATTTTTTATGCATTTGTCGTATAATATAGTTTTTTTAAAAAAAAAAATTTTAATAAAGTTACATGATCATGTAATCGATTTTGATTGGTCAATAATGGGATCGCTATGGTAACAGATCACACATATCAGATATATATATACAAAACCAGTTCGAATCTCAATACACAAGTTTATATACATAAGAATTTTTTTTAAAAAATAATATCCGATAATAAGCTATTTCTTCTATCGAGAATAAATTTTTAAAAACCTGTATAATCTGAAAATAAGCTATTCTTGATTTTTTGGCTTTAAAATTGCTCAAAAAAGATAGCTTATTTTCGGAAATATACAGTATTATAGTTAAATTTTATATATAATCAAAAATTTGATATTTACTATATAAAAAAAGTTATCTATATATATATTTAACTGATTAGAATTAATTATATACAAATTAGCTAATAGAATTAATTATATAATTTTGTAAAAAAATTTCTTATAAAATTTTAGTATAAAATAAGCTTTATTATAATTAAACCTATTTTTAATATAGTGTTTTATGATTTTAAAGATTGTATATATTCATTGTTTTGATTGTTGATTAGTAATCAGTTGATTTCACTGGGATATAGATAACTTAAATAGCATTTTACCCACTAAAACCAACATAGTAAATCAAATTTTAATTGCCTATTACAAATTATCAGTTTTAACAAAATTGGTTTTAGAAAAGCCAACAGTATTTTTATTTTTGTTCTCAGTTTCTAATGCAACTATGTTGCATAGCTATCTTATTTTTAATATAAATTTAATAGATGATTCACTAGTCATCTGGAGAGCTATGTGATACACATTACACAAAATTTATATATAAATTATATATACCATATTTTCGCGTAATAACGCTCATGAGCGTTAATTAAAAAATTACGCCCCTTTAAAATAATATATATGGTTTCAAAATAATGTCCATGCGCGTTCCTAAATAATGCACACCCCTACATAAAATTATTACTTGCTCGCTCTCTCACTATAAAAATACTATTCTTTCTAGAAAATTTGATTCACTAATAATTACGACCAATTGATGGTCGATCTTCTGAGCT